CCTGGCTATTTCTTCATTGTAGTTGCACTGTTGTTTGGCAGACCTGGGTGTATGTGGCCAGTGCCCTAGCTGCTGAGCTACAGGCGCTGAGCCAGTTTTTCTATTTTTTTTTTTAGAGAAAGGGTCTCACTCTTGCTCAGAGTGGTCTTGAACTTCTGGCTTTAAGCACTTCTCTCACTTTGGCTTCCCAAAGTGCTAGGATTACAGATATGAACCACCACACCTAGCCAGGATAATAATTTCTTTTTCTTTAAGAAACAGGGTCTTGCTCTATTGTCCATAGTGGAGTACAGTACAGCGGTACAATCATAGCTCGCCCCAACTTCGAACTCCTAGGCTCAAGCAATCCTCCCAACTCAGCCTCCCACTCCGAGTAACTGAGATTACAGGTGTACATCATTATTCTCAGCTAATTTTAAAACACTATTTTTAGAGACAGGGTATTACTATGTTGCCCAGGGTGTTCTCAAACTCCTGGCTTCAAACACTCTTCCCACTGTGTCTCCCAAAATGCTGAAATTACAGTTGTACCATGGCTGGCCTTCGAACAGTAATTTTTTTTTTTATTGTTGGGGATTCATTGAGGGTACGAGGAACCAGGTTACATTGATTGCATTTGTTAGGTAAAGTCCCTCTTATAATTGTATACCACCCTCAAAAGGTGTGTCAGGTGGCACAGGTGGCTCAGTGAGTAGAGCACTGGCCCCATACACTGAGGGTGGTGGGTTCAAACCTGGCCCTGGCCAAAATGCAACCAAAAAAACTAAATAAAAACAAATTAAAAAAAAAAAAAGGTATGTCACACACTATGACCCTCTACCCCCCTTCCTGCTCCCCTCTCTCTGTTCTTCCCTTCCCCCACTGCCTTCACTTGAACAATAATTTTTAATTTCAAAATTCCAATAAGGGAGGGTTCTTTCCTATTGGGCATGGGAGCATATTTTGTAATTATCCCTATAACAATCACAAATTATGACTTGGCATCCGTAGCTCAGTGGTTAGGGCACTGGCCACATACACCAGGGCTGGTGGGTTTAAACCTGGCCTGGGGGCAATGCCTGTGGCTCAGTGAGTAGAGTGCTAGCCCCATATACCAAGGGTGGCAGGTTCAAACCCGGCCATGGCCAAACGACAACCAAAAAAATAGCTGGGCGTTGTGGCGGGCGCCTGTAGTCCCAGCTACTTGGGAGGCTGAGGCAAGAGAATCACCT